CCTCAGTCATACTTAAAAATAGTAAAGAACTCATTGAACAAATTAAAGATAAAAAGATTTTTTCAGTCTATAGTTTAGATTTTGAAAATCTTTTTAACTCTATTAATATTGATGATATGATTAATATACTTGAAAAATTACATAAAGATAATTTATTTAATAATGTTAATTATGATAGATTTAGCTCACTACTTAGGTTTGTACTTAAAGAGAACTATATATATCATAAAGGTAACTATTATCAATAGATTAAAGGTTTGCCACATGGTGGCCCTGTTAGCAACTGTCTTGCCAATTTATATTTACGTTATTGTGAAAATAGTTTCAGTAATAATTCTAACATTTATGATAAAAGAGAAGAATTAAATTTTAATATTAGAAAAGTTCCTCTTTGGGAGAGTAATGTACATATTTCTATATTCAGAAATATTGTTATTAATTATATACAACGCAATAAATTTCTAGTTTCAAAAAAAAATCAGAAGAAATAAAAAAAACTATAAATATTTCACTAAATATTGCTTGATTCAGAAATACCCAATTATTTTTATTAATAGTTATTTGAATAACGAAATACTAAATAGTAAGGATTAAAATTCCTTGGAATAATAATAGTTTATTTTTATAAATTTATTATTTTTCATAGATATAGTTACCTCCATATTATAATATTAAATAAAATTACTAATTATTATTTTTAACTCGTATATAAATCTAGTGTCACTAAAGTTATGGCAGATTGTAAACTCTCTTCTAAATTTTTTTTCTATTCTTATCTTACTTTTGCTAAGTGCTACATTTCAGCCATTCAAATGCTTTGAATTTGCATTTGAGTCCACAATCTGACAATGACTTATTTATTGTACTCAGATTTAGCGCGGGCTCTGCATTTTTGAATGCAATTTTTAGGAAAGTTACCTTTACCTTGTAATGTGGATTTAGATATTTTATCCATTATTTTTTCAATAGGTTTTGCTCAGTGTTACTAACATAAAGAGGGAAGGTTGGCTGGCCACAAAACATGTACAACCCCCACTTTTATATAAATTATTTTATATATAAGCTGTCCTAAGACAGCTATGTTTATAATACTGTAACATCCATTTTTTATATTTTTAACCCTATTATAATTTTAATTTCTCATATATCCTTCTATATCTGGTTCTTACAATCTCAATTTTTTTCGCTTTTGTGTAATGAATTGTGTAATGTCTCTCATTAGTTTTTTTTCCCTATTATATCGAAAATTTTTGCTGTACGGGGAAGGTTGGATCCATAAAGCATTGCTAACCCTTATTCACTGGCCTAATTCAGCGACAGCTTTAGAAATCATAATAGGTCTCCAGTTTAGTCCAAAGACTTTTTTGTATCTACATTTGTTGTGTTTGGTGAATTCCAATTTCTTCCTGCTTTAGCACTGTAGGTTCTAGTACTTCTTCACTTTTATTTTATAT